CCACTGTTAACTGCGGTAACTGTTCTGGGTCAGTGATGACGTTGAACAAGCATTATAGGTGCTGTTCTATGCACGGCCCGCCTGCTTTCAATATTTCTGCAGTGATTTCCGCTGTGTCTTTGCACTTTCCGTTTTGAGCTCTTTGATTGCTTGGTGTACATCTTCCTGAGTAAAAGGTGGTATTTGGTTCGGCCTCACTTCGGCCTCCAGGTCTTCGCGGCAAGGGACAGGGGGGCGGCAGCCGTGCGTCGAACGTCCGTTGTTGGAGTCGGTTTGTCGGTAAAGTTGTTCGTAGAACGTTGCAAAAAATAGCAGCATTACTTTGTCGGTCGGTCTCGTCGTTGCCGTCTTGCCCTGTCATTGATACCATCATGTCTTTGTGCTTCGTTGTTTTGATCCCCGCTATCTTCTTAAGGCCTGTGAAATTGACGATGGTGTCCCTGATTTTGTTTTGCCGTCGAGCCCGTTTTAAAGAGCGCAATTCTTTGAAGATCTATCCTTGCTGATAGCTTTGCGGGTCGCAGTGTCCTCGTGTGGTGTTTTGCTCCGTTGTGCGATGAGGTCGCGTAGCTGTTTAGTTTGCTCTTGGTCGGTCGCTCGGTGGGAATCATTGGGGTGGGCGGTCTGGGTATCGTAAGCTTTTGTTGCAGTCTTCAGTGCTCGTTCCGTGTCTGCGCACCATTCGCTGATTGTCGACGCGTGTGAGTGCGTCTGCAATGCCTCTTCGAGATGCTGCTGGAAAGCTGGGTCGTTTGTTGGTGGTCGCCCGGCTGTTGTTGGTCGTGCTTTCTTACGTCTTCGTCGCCGTCTTCTCGCAGTGGTAGACAAATCGAGTCGTATATGAACAAATTGGTGGTCGTATCCCAGCTCCGGGCACACGGACGCATCAGCGTCTAAGACAATGTTGCGGCACGCCTGGTCGATCAGGATGTAGTCCATATTTGAGCGTATCTTGTCCGAACCGTTGCTGCCATATGTAGAACCGTGTTGCGGTCGCTTGTAAAACTGCGTGCTCGCGATCACCAGCTTCTCCTTGATTGCCCAAGCTCGTAACCAAAGCCCCCTGGTGTTGCATTTGCCCATCCCGAACTTCCCAATGATACTGCGAGATCTGTCGCGATCACCGTCGTCACATGTATCGTCGTCATTGTTCTCCTGAATCCCAACCTGCGCATTGAAGTCGCCAGTCAGTGTTGTCAGCCTTCCCTGTTGCGCTGCGTCTTTGTGCAATGTACTGAGTTTGTCGTACACGTGCTGTACTTGATTGTCGCTGTATCCTCCATGTGGGAAGTACGACGTTATAATTCGCAGGGGCTTTTCGGGTAAGTCTAAATCGTTGTAAGCAATCCTCTCCTTGATTGGCGAAAAACGCGTGATGTAGTGAGCGTGGCGGTTATGAATCAAAAGTACAACTCCTCGTGAATTCGCTTGGTGTCCGGCAGCTGCGAACACATGATTGCCATCTTTGGTAATCCACATTTATTCCTTCACTGTCCTCCACGTCTCGTTGATGGCAACTGCGTCCCAATGTATGTTGGCAAGTTCGTGCAAGGGCGCATCGATGCTGTCGTCTGTTGTCAGGCTCCTGGCGTTTTTATGTATGATTGTGAACGTGTTCTCACTGTGTTTCGTGAGGTTGAGTGGGGCTGTACCGGTCTCTAGGTGTGCGCTGCACGTATCTGCTGGCTCATTGTTGATGCTTCGTTGTTCTCATTGGTCGTTACACTGGGGCCAATGTGTTGAGATGCCTACTGGAACGTCGCCACTCACGTGCCTGAGTGCTCCGCGGCCTCCCCCAAAGCTCTGATGTGGACGTTGAGCTGGTGGTGGAGGTGGGGTTGGAAAGTCATATGCTGCTGGAGGGTGGAGGTCGGAGTCCTTCGCTGCTGGACGCTGGAGGTCGGCAGGTGGAGGTGGAGGTGGAAACTCACATGCTGCTGAAGGGTGTAGGTCGGAGTGCTGCGCTGCTGGACGCTGGAGGTCGATAGGTAGAGGTGGGGGTGGAGGTGGAAAGTCAGTTGCTAGAGGCTGGACGTCGGAGTGTTGAGCTGGTGGACGCTGGAGGTCGATGCGTGGAAGTGGAGGTGGGAGGTCACATGCTGCTGGAGGGTGGAGGTCGGAGTGCTGCGCTGCTGGGCGCTGGAGGTCGACAGGTGGAGGTGGAGGTGGAAAGTCGGATGCTGGCGGGTGGAGGTCGGAGTGCTCATTGTTGGTGCTGGCTGGCTCATTGTTGATGCTTCGTTGTTCTCCTTGGTCGTTACTCTGGGGCCAATGTGTTGAGATGCCTACCGGAACGTCGCCACTCACGTGCCTGAGTGCCCAAGGCAAACAGGTGCCCAAGAGGGCTCCAAGACAGCCCAGCAGTGTCCCAACAGGGCCCAAAGACAGCCCAGGGGGGGCTCCAAGACCCACAACGTGCCCCCAAGAGGCCCCGAAGAGGCCCAAAGATACCACCACAGGCCACCGGAAGGCCCAGGAGACCCCCAAGAGGACTCCAAGAGGTCCGCCATACAGACCGCCAAAGACCTCCCAGACGGACCCAAGCCCCGAGAGGCTCTCAAGAGGCCCCGGGGAAGCCCACGCGTGCATCTCTGACTGAACCTCCTCCACGCTGCGCTGCTGCCCTGGCGCCGTGGCGGGGCTTGCCGCAGGCAGCTGGATATGTCTGACTCGCCACGGCACCGACAGAGTCCTGTGACCTGGCGGAGCTGGGCTCGCCGTCTCCCTGGCCAACTTCCAGCGCGCGTGACCACGTGGATGGCAACAGCTTGGAGATCAGCTTCGTTGATTCCCTCAACACGTCTACCGGCAACCCTTCGGCCTCAGGATTGTCACCATGTCCGTCGGCAGGCGGCTGAATCGGCAGTGGCCCACCTCTCCGGGCGGTGACGCTGCAGCAATTGGAGCAGTCCTGCCCCATGCCTCATCTCCGTGGCTGGAACATCGAAGGACCCATAAGATGCGGCCCAGAAGATCCGCAATGTCTCAACTCGATGCCATGCAACTACGGATCGAAATGATGACGACGGCAACGAGGATGACGATTAACCACAGGACGACGACGATGGAGGGTGCTGGTGACCTCGATGGCATCCGACAGCCATGAACAATCGAACAGAAAACGAAGGGAAGCGCCGCTTGTCCATGTACACGCGTAGTCATGTCCGCACGTGCATGTTCAAAAATGTGGGTGGGTGGGTGCCCGATCTGCACGTATCCGCCTGGCGCTGTTTCAACTCTGCGGCGAAAGAAAAGTGCGCCCGACCTGCGAAATCCTGGACCTTGCCGATCCACACCTTCTGCCGCTGCCCTCAGAAAAGATCTGAATAGCGCACTGCCTCCTGGGCGCACTTCTTGCATGGCTGGCCGTGTGTCACCCCGCATCATCTTCGCTGCTGAATCTCCATCATGATGGCAATCCTGTAGCGACGACTCGCCTCCTGGAGTGCGATGGCTCAGCCCCCTCCGACTCCCATCGGAGGCGACGATAGGGGCGAATAGCCCAGGGGGGAGCAATACATGATACTGGAGACAAACTCCAATCACAATCTTTTTAGTTTAGGGCTATAGGTCTGTAGGGCTATAGGGCTATAGGGCTGTTAGGGCTATGGGGCTATGGGGCTATAGGGCTATAGGGCTATAAGGCTATGAGGCTGTAAGGCTATAAGGCTATAGGGCTACCAGGCACCCGGGCACCTGGGCAACCGGGCACCCAGGCACCCGGGCACCCGGGCGTGCCGCCGAAATCGGCGCCAAACCTCACCTAACCATGTGAATCCGCTAGGACTCGTACAGAGACAAGCTCTGATTATCCAGGGGCGCTGATGATCCATGTCTTCGGCGAAGCTTCCTGGCGAATACATGTAATGCCCGCCCCTGGGCTATCCGCCCTTTTATCGCCACCGCCGATCTCTCTCGTCCGTCGAGCGGGTACGAGCCTGCCCCGGCGCGTCGGGTACTGGCGCACGCCCGCACTGCACCTGCACCTCATCCTCATCCTCCTGCACTCACGTCCTACCACCCCCAGTGCTGCATCGTCGTGGGTCCCAGGCGTCCCGACGGTGCCGAAAGGCTGGGGGTTTTTGAAGCCTCTCCAAAGCACGAGGTCGGAACGGCCGTTCAGTGGATCTGCAGTGACGTCGGCCAGCGGTTCTAACTCCCTGAGCAGCGAATGCTGCAAAGAGCCACTCGGTTATTCTACGACAAGCCCGAGTTCTAGAATAGAGGAACGAAAAGTGACATAAACATAAAAACTCGGAGGTCCGCGCGGATTTCTCAGAACGGCGCTGGACCCCCCTCCCTGGCGCGCGGAGCGCGCCAGGGGCGGCGCCGGAGGCGCCGCCGGGGGGCCCCAGCGCCGATCCGAGAAATCCGCGCGGACCTCCGAGTTTTTATGTTTATGTCACTTGCTGTTCCCCTAATTTTACGACATGCCCGAGTTCTAGAATGCGAAACACTTGCCGCCCGCCTTCCGTGCCGCGCCTGCGTTCCAGGATGCGAACACGTGCCGCCCGCGGGCCGTGCCGCGCCATGCTGCCCGCGGGCCACGGCCGCGTGCTCGCGGGCCGTGCCGCGCACGAGCTCAGGCCTGCACAACGAGAGTGTGCCCCGCGCCCGCGTCCTCAGAGGCATGCAAAGACACCGCCCGCGTGCCGTGCCGTGCCGGGCCAGGCGAGCGCACCGTGCCGGGCCGCGTCTGGCTTCGAGGGCGCGAGGAGCAGGAGGTGCGAACCCGAAGTCTATAGAGTGCGAGGAAGCTGCCGCCGGCGTGCCGCGTCGTGCCCCAGACGGCCAAGAGGCCCCCAAGGCAGAGGAGCCTCCGAGGAGCTCCCAGGAGGCCTCCGGGCGTGCACCCCGCGAAGCGAGAGGAATCACCGTGACATCTCCAAGTGGACTGAGAGGGGCAGTGCCATCGAGGCTGGATGGACAAAGAGGGTGAAGAGGCCGAGGAAGGCGACCAGGAAAGGGAGGGCAACCAGGGCGAGGTGCGCAGCGGCGGCCTGGTGGTCGAACTTCTGGTGCCCGTCCTGGCGCGGCGCGGCGCTTCGCGTCGATCGCACACATGATGGACGAGAAACGACGGCGTAATGAACAAAGAGCGACAGCCCTCAGATTGCCGCCTGCTCCCGCTCCGACAAATGCGGTACTTCGAGTGCAGCTGGTGGCAACTTGCTCTTTGAGTGCAACCGAGGCTGCCGCTCCTTGTGTGGCTGGCGCCTTCAACGGCGCTGGAGCCCGCAGAGGCGGCTCGTCTTATTGTGCAGCGCGGTTTAAGATGTGCGTTGGGGTGACACGTGCTCCCTTGCATCCCAGAAGCGTTCGGTGCTCGGGCATGGGGCTTTATCCCCCTGGTATCCGAAACTCGGCTGTTGCTCCTGGTGTGCGAGCTGCTCCAGGCGGATCAACACGGTCGAACGGTGGCCCACGCTGCGGGGTGTTGTCACCGAGGGTGGGCAGCACATCGCGCTGCGGTTCTTCAGGCGTGCGGCTGGCGTGCGGGGTGTTGCGAGGTCTCTTGCGTGCTCCGAGCTCGGCTGGTGGTCCAGGCGCGACTGGCAGTCGTGCTTCAGGGTGTGGTTTGGGTGCAACTGGTGCTGGGGCGTGGGTGATGGTCATAATGCGGGCGGTGCTCTGGACGTGGCTAAGGTCAGAAAACTGTTTCATGGCGTGTCGCGGCGGCGGCCCCGGCGACAGGCTATGCCTTGCAAGCGGATAGCGTGTCGCTCCGCTCCGCGAGGCGGGAGGCTCGCAAAGGCTCTTGACGCTGAAGCCTGCGGACAGGGAAGTGGATAGCGTGTCGAGCCGAAGCGTGGTGGGCCAGAACTGGCGGAACGACACGCTATCCAAAAGATCCCGACCGTCATGCTCTGGACGTGGCACGTGCTTCGGGGTGTCTTCCGAGTGTGGCTGGCACTCCAGGGTGCACCTCGTGTTCCAGGGCGCAGCTGGTGCTCCAAAGTGCGGCTGTGGGTGTGTCCCGTACTCCAAAATAAAGCTGCTGCTTCGGATGACAAGTGATGTTGCCCAAACGGCCAGCGGGTTTGCTTCAAACGGTAAGACATTGTGCAAAAATGAAAAGCACCCGGAGGGGAGGGAGGAAGGGGCTTAAGAGACAACTTTTGCGGAGATGACAAATACACCATATCGCCCCGAACCCAACACGTGGGCTGACCTGGTTGGTAGGCCAAGCACTCGCCGCCCACTGGAACCGCTATCAGACATCGCGGACGCGGCAGCGTGCTGGTCCGGAGCATACCGCGATTCGTTGGCGGCCTGGAAGATGGAGCCCATCATCTTAATGTTCCTGGGGGGAATTGGGCGGACGTCCCAGGAAAGAAATTCGCAAAGGCACGACGGAGCGGGAAAAACGAAACCCACTGAATGAACAATCTTCGAATGTTCAAATACCAGAGTCGCCGCCATCGCCGTGGCCGCCATCGTCGTCGTCGCTCCTCTCTCTCCTCCATCCCCTCCTCCATCCCTCCTAATAGCCATTTTCCTGCAACTCCAGTCCACCTACTACTCATCCTCCATCTCTCCTTACCATCCTTCCTCCTCTCCTCCTCCTCCTCCTCATCCTCCTCCTCCTCCTCCTCCTCCTCCTCCTCCTCCTCCTCCTCCTCCTCCTCCTCCTCCTCCTCCTCCTGGGCCTTCCCCTACTCGCACCACAAGACATGTCGGCAGGGCGGGCCGGGCGATTCGCCCGAGACTTCCTCACTGCTTGTAGTCCTCAGTCTGGAGAGTCACAGCATCTACCCTGATGGAGGCCGGCTGGCTTCCAGCGTGCAAGTCTCACATTCGCACCACGCAGGTTCGCTGTGGAAGCTTCCAAAAGCCAGACGGACGCACGGAGTGCCACTCCCTCTCAAAATGTGTCTATCGCCCCAGCGCCGCGCAAGCTCGGGGAGCGGCTCTTTGTCATCATGCGGCCATCGCCACCAGCGCTTCGCACGATCATATGGCGCAAAAATTACTGACCACGCATACTCAGATGGAGGGCGCTTCTGAGGACCGTGCGCGAACAGGCCGAGAAACCGTGGGTTTCGAAGCAAACGCGTTCGCTGCTGAAGGCACGATTCGGATTATCGATCGCGTTCGGGAGAAGGGAAAACAATAAACTCACGTAGACATACATGTAGGCATCTGTTCCCCCCGCAGCTGTCCCCCCAACCCCACGCTCTCCCCCAGACAGGGTGCGAGAGAGACAGGAGGGAAGGGGTGGGGAGGCGTGGCAAGGGGGGGTGGAGGGAAGGAGAGAGCACGAAGGAGAGAGGGGGTAGGAAGAGGAAGGAGGAAGGGGGAGAAGGGAAGAGCACAAGGCGGGAGAGTAGGGTGGCGAGGAAGAAGGACGAGAAAGATGCACAGATGAGGACGATGAGGATGACGAGGCAGAGGAAGAGGAGGAAAAATGAGCAGCGGCAAAGCCGAAGCGGATGAGGATGAGGATGAGGATGAGGATGAGCATTTCGGAGCAGGGCTGTGCGATGGGGGGGGGACCAGTGCGGGGCTGCTCCTCCTCTTCCTCCTCCATCCTCCTCGTCTCCCTCCTCCCCGGAGCGAGGGCCGCATCCGACCAGTGAGGTGACGACATCCGAACCCTACCCCCACCAACCACAGATTCTCCCGCATTGCTGGGAGGCGGGGGTGGGATGCGGACTTCGCCACGTGCTTGACGCACTCCGAGCACTACCCCCGCCGCCCATCGAAATGCCTGAAGAATCCTCGATCTGCGAGGGCAGGGCCCGGATTTCGCCGCCGACCACTGTCGGGTGCGAGCGCCCGCTGACCGGAGCGCTCCGCGGAGCGCCCCGCGAACGACGGGGCGGGCAGGGTCGAGCTCCTCCCGCCCGCAAGCGACACGAGGAGGCGGACTCCGACTCGCTCGTCTTGCGCGCACCACAGACACGGGTATACAGTCTCTCGCAGTGCCTCCGCACGGCCCTGGGCGGCGGCCTGAGAGGCGCTCCGCGCAGCCAGAATCGAGACAGACAGCCTCGTCGACTGGCGACATTGCCCCGCGGGCCTCAGAATCGGGATTCCCCCCCCCCCACTTGGGCTTCTGCATCGTGCCCCCCTCCCCCAAATGGGTTTCCTTCCCATGGTCCCATGGGGCCCCCAATTGGGACTGATTCTGTCGGCCCCCCCCCCCGCTGGGATTCTCTCTCGCGGCCCCTCCGAAGTGGATTCCTTTTTCGCGGGGCTCCCCCCAACTTAGGGCAACGAGGCGTATACAGATCCACCGCCCCTGGCCAGGCACATCCTGGGCCCAGGCCCAGGGGCGGTGCACACGCCGTCCCGACTTGGCCAGGGTGGCACACACACACACACACACACAGACACACACACACACACACACACACGCACACGCACACACACACACACACACACACACAGACACACACACACACACACACACACACACACACACACACACACGCACACGCACACACACACAACACACACACACAGCTCCTGGGCCGGGATGGACCCGGCCAGGGGCAGCAGATATGATGTGTGGAGTTTGGGACGCCCCCTCGTGTTATGTTGCTCCCATCGTACTGAAGGACCACATCCCGTTGATTTTTTCGAGCACCCGGAAAAGTGTCGAAACAGTGTCGAAACAGTGTGGGACGAGGGTCTCCCAGGGCCCGACACGTGGAAACCCGGGTATTGTCCTGGAGCTCGAAATTCTGTCTGGTGGTCAAGGCCGAAGTAGATTGGAACATCATGGCCCTCGTGGAGCAAGTCTGCGCCGCCCCTGGCGCGCGAGGCCCCCGCCAGAGCGCAGTGCCCCATTGCGCAGCGACGCGCCACCCGTCACGGAACGAGCCCGCGCCCCAGCCACGGGGCGACGCCCCCGCCGGGGCGACGCGGCTGCGCCACGTGAGGTCCCCCCTCCGCGGGATAGGTGCCCCGTCGCGCAGCGAGACGCCACCCCGCTCGCGGAGCGAGGCCACCCACGCGTCGCGGAGCCTCCTCCTCCTCCTCGTCCTCGTCCTTGTCATCCTCCTCCTCCTCTTCCTCCTCCCCCTCCTCCTCCTCCTTCATCCTCCTCCATCCTCCTCCATCCTCCTCCATCCTCCTCCTCCATCCTCCTCCATCCTCCTCCATCCTCCTCCATCCTCCTCCTCCTCCTCCTCCTCCGCCTCCTCCTCCTCCTCATCCTCGTCCTCCTCCTCCTCCTCCTACTCCTCTCCCTCCTCCTCCTCCTCCTCCTCCTCCTCCTTCCTCCTCCTCCTCCTCATCCTCCTCCTCCTCCCTCCTCTTCTTCTTATTAGTAGTATTATTATTCTTATTATTAGTATTCTTATTATTCTTCTTATCATTATTATTCGTATTATTATTAGTTTTCTTATTATTATTTTTCGTCTTCGTATTCTTAGTATTATTATTATTCTTATTATTATTATTCGTAATGTTCTTATTCTTATTATTATTATTATTATTCTTAAAATTATTAGTATCAGTATTCTTGTTATTACTAATATTATTCGTACGACTATTATTAATATTAGTGTTATTATGATTATGATTATTATTATTATAATATTAGTATTATTAATGTTATTATTATTATTATTAGTAGTAGTAGTAGCAGCAGCAGCAGTAGTAGTAGTAGTAGTAGTAGTAGTAGTATTGATAAGTGTTCTTATTCGTATTCTTATTATTATTCGTATTACTATTATTCTTGTTAGTATTATTCTTAGTCCTCTTCTTATTAGTATTAGTATGAGTAGTCTTCCTCTTACTCTCCTCCTCATCCTCCTCCTCCTCCTCCTCCTCCTCCTCCTCCTCCTCCTCCCTCCCTCCCTCCCT